CTTTAAAATTCTCGAAAATGATACAGCCCCGTGCATCGCACGGGTTCTGCACTAGTTGCTCTTTAAAAAATGATACCAAAAAAAAAAAAATAGAATTTTAAATATTGCATTTGATAGTAATATATATATATTTTTGATCAAATATATAATAATGGACCCGCTTGGATGAGATGCTTTGGGTCTCTTCCAGCTTAACCAGTGGTCTCATGTTCGAGCCCTGAGAATGCAGCAATGTTAAAATTCTTGAGAGAGAGTTTTGCCGCCCTTGTGGTCCTATCCGGCTTGATTCTGAATTAGTCGATTCCCTTATGGATCCAAAAACCGAAAGGTCCATATACTAAAAAAATATATATATAATAATGGGTCAAACCTCCTAACAATTAAATTATCTCACACGTCTAACCATAATCAAAATGGATTATCCATTCACACTACTATTCAATTGTCTCACACCATAACTTAACCATCTAAAAAAAGACAAAAGAAAAACCAAAAAAAGTTGTAATTTTTGTGACATTGACTAATCAAATTAGATATATTTACATCTATTATAGTTGACTAATGACACAAAAATTAATTGAAATTTTAATATAGAAAAGAAAAAAATATAGAGATGTTTGTTTGTTGAAATTAATGTATATTGAATCCGTACATTATTATAAATTTCGAAATTGATGATACTTGGACTTTTAGCATTATTGTTACTATCAAAATTACACAAATTGTTATGTGAAGTGACTTAGGGCTTGATTGTTTATGAAATAATTTGTTTAAATTGAGTTATTTTGGTTAACTGTAGTTAATTTTGAAAAAGGTGGTATGGTTAGTTGTAGTGGAATTTTAAGAATGTATTAAAATAATATTTAAAATAAAATAATTAAAATTGATTTGATGTAAAAGTAAGAGATAAATGATTAGAAAGGATGGAAATGATAGGTAGTTAAAATTATGTGAGTGGATGAATAGTGAATTAAAGTTGATTTGATGTGTAAGAATGATTGGTTTGTATTATTTAATAATATGAATAATATTAAAGATAGTGGGGTTGAGTTAAAGTTGAGTTAGATTTTGAGTTGAAATAAAAGTGAGTAAAATATTTGGTAAACAATCACCCCCTTAATATTTAGACGAATCGACAAATTATACTTTTTTTTAAAATAAATGTACATTTATATTAAGTTAATATTTTCGTTTATTTTGTTTTGTCAGGTATAAGTAACATCTTGATTTGAAAATATCCATTAGTCCTCCATTTAAAGTAATAATAATAATAGAAAAAATAGTAGATGGACCACATGGAAAAATAAAATTGGGCGGGTATAATTTAATTTAAAGTCTTGGTTCATATTGAATTAGTCAAAAAAGTTCAAATTGGACTAATGATACCTTTC